AACACACATTGAAAGAATGTGAAAATAAAAAATATAATTTAGATCCGCGTTTTGTGACCTATTAATTCCTAGTGAAGGTAGCCTGCAGGAAAGCCGCTTGTCCGTTTTAAGATATTCAACGTTAAATTATTTGACACAGTAACTACACTTCCTTCTACAGTGTAACCCGGATATAAGAGACCCGGATATAAGAGAAACCCGGATATAAGAGAGATTTTCTGTGGTCCCAAATTAGAGCCTGTGTTAACGTATATAAAATAGACTAAACCCGGATATAAGAGAAACCCGGATATAAGAGACTTCTTCTCCGGTCCCGACAACTCTCTTATATCCGGGTTACACTGTATTTACCGTTGATTATCGAGACATAGAGAGAGGGGGGAGTCAAAATCGACGAAATAAACCCCTGGTGACAAGTAAGAAATGAAACTCGAGCAAAACAAGAAAAAAAATCACAACACTATATTATGCACAATGCTAGAAAAATCTTACAAGTTAACTTTAATCTCTCTGTTCTGACGGACTACAAACCATTAGTTACACCAGTTCGGGCCTTTACAACTAAAACACGCCATGACACATCCACAGGGTTGAATCATCCTCATTCCCTATTTATTCAATTGGTAAGACGGGAAATTAACTCAGACAGCTTCTCCCCAAGAACCGACACTTTGTGGAACAGACTCCTGTGAGGATACTTTCCATATCACTACAATGGTAACCCCTTCGGTGAACCGTTATCTCTCTTATATTCTTATAATCTTTACTTACTACCTACTCTTACATCCATACAACAATCTTGTTCAGTAACAATCTACCTTGAGTGACTCATGAGCTAGGTATCGGGACGTCCTGGGTATGACGATAAACTACATCCGCGTCCTGGGTAAGACGATAAACTACGTTCGACAGCAAGGCCTCTGATCAGGAGATTTTGAGGAGCGTGGAACCACCTCTTAATTGCTGGTGTTCCCAGGTCCATCCTGATCCAAGGGTGGCAGCAGTTGTTAGGGACACAACTATGGGCAAATAGTTAACCCCGAAACTGGAGTCAAAACACTATGAAAGTGTAAGAATAGCTTTTAATACCAGAAATACTTTGTAAAAAATTATTACCAGTAATACATTTTTGAAAAAAAATATTGCCAGCAATAAAAATCTTGTCGCCATTAAATAACCCATTGAGATTGATATGCCGTAAAACAAAACAAAACAATATATATTAAGACAGACAGATAGCTAGCTAGCTAGCTAGCTAGCTAGATAGATAGATAGATATTACCAACAATAAAAATTTTGTCGGTATTAAATAACCCATTGAGGTTGATATGCCGTAAAACAAAACAAACCATACCAATATATATTGAGATAGATAGATAGATAGATAGATAGATAGATAGATAGATAGATAAAAAATATTACCAGCAATAAAAATCTTGTCGGCATTAAATAACCCATTGAGGTTGATATGCCGTAAACCAAAACCAAACCTTGTATTGAGTGAACAAAAATAAAACTCTTTCATTTTTAAATGGTAGGGTGTAGCTAATGAGAATCGAACTAAAAGCAGCAATAGTCTGCCAGGATTATTTTCCTAACCATTGCTATATGGCGAGGTCACCAATATTGTTAAGCGAATTCAGCTTAATCTGGAATCCGGCTCCACATGCGAAAAAAATAAAACGTATTATTTATGTTCAACTTCATACATTTTGTTAACCGCATTATTTTTTTTTTCTCTTCGTCAAAGAATAAATGAATTACTTTCCTTATGGGATTTGTCGCCGCTAATCATGATGACTGATTGCGCTGTTAACAAATGCAATTTACTACCTGTCACAGTTGAACTGATTTCATTCCGTCCCCAAATGTACTCGATTCATTTCTGAATGTTGTTAGACATTTTCCAGTCTCGTCGAGCAAAGATTTGCTGCTATTATGTCGTCCGCCTACACAATATCTGACTCTTTTTCACAATAAAAATTATATAAAACATTTTATTTTACACAGAAATGCTAACTTTTCAACATGATATCCTTCTTTGTTAATACACTTAATTCACAGGCGAATAATAACCCAGTATTGCCTCCCATAAAATCCGGTATTAATTACAAAACGTAAAACAAAAATCCGATTGATTATAGGTTTCTAAAAATTCTGATATAATAGATTTATAAAAATCCGTTACTAATTTTAGATTTAAAAATCCAGTATTAATTTCAGCTTAAAAAATCTGGTATTAATTTTACCTTTAAAAATTCGGTAATAATTTTAGGTTTAAAAATACAGTATTAATTTTACGTTTAAAAATCCTGTATTTATTTTAAGTTTAAAAATCTGTCATCAATTTTAGATTTAAAAATCCAATATAAATTTTAGGATTAGAAATCAGGTATTAATTTTAAATTTAAAAATCCTGCATTAATTTTAGTTAAAAAAAAATCCGCAATCATTTTTAGGTTTAAAAATCCAGCATAAATTATAGGCTTAAAAATCCAGTATTCATTTTAGTTTTTACAGATCCGGCATAAATTTTAAATTTAAAAATCTATTAATTTTAGGTTTAAAAACCAGTATTAATTTTAGGTATAGGATCCAATATTAAATTTAGGTTTTAAGACCCGGTATTAATTCTAGTTTTAAAAATCCAGCATTTATTTTAGATTTAAAAATATGTCATTAATTGTAGGTTTAAAACCCGTTATGAGTTTTAGGTTTAAATATCGGGGATTAATTCTATGTAAAAAAAAAACAATATTAATTTTAGGTTTAAAAATCTAGAATTAATTTTAGGATTAGAAATTCGGTATTAATTTTAGGTTTAAATAACCTGGCATTACATTTAGGTTTAATAATCTTATATTAATTTTAGATAAAAATCCAGTATTAATTTTAGCTTTAAAAATCTGCTATTAATCTTAGCTTTACAAATTTGCTATTAATTTTAGATTTAAAAATCCAGTATTAATTTTAGATTCAAATATCCGATATTAATTTTAGATTCAAATATCCGGAATCTACTATCTATATTTCTCATGTTGTCTGTGTCTGTCGTGGGAGTTGTTACCTCGCCCAGGCCGCATTTCTCACCCGATTTCGATGCGGTTTTCAACACAAGTTTGCAAATGGCTGCCGTAAGGACATGACGGAGCCCGATTTTTGAGTTCGGAATCAGGTTCGGAAAAAATCGATAATCGAAAAAATTCTGCTTACAGAAAGAATGATCGCATTTCAACCAAATTTGACACCCTCTTAGAGTCTACCATTAGAAGTGTTGTCCAGAAGTTTCATGACCACGGACCCCTAAACAGCGCGGAAAATCGATAAACCCAAAAACCGATACGCCCAGATTGCGTCTGAACCGCATGTCGGTTTTAGCGAAAACCGAGCGGATTTATGAAGAGGCCATTGGGAGTCATCATGTGAAGTTTCAACTCTGAGCACCCCCCCCCCCAAACAGAGTGCAAATCGACAATCGGTCAACCCTTAAAAATGTTTTTTCCGGTTTTTTAAAGTTGATCGTATTGTGTTTATTTTGTTTAGTTCTTTTTTCGTAACAGATTTAATGTTTACTATAGAGCTTAGAAAAAGTTGGCAATGTGATATAGTCAAGAAGTAAGGCATGTAACAAGATCAGCACGGCAAAGGGCACTCCTCTAAAGGCAAGGAAGGGCAAAAATATTTTAAGTCAAGTGATAGCGATTGCTGTATGAGTCATACGATTTTTGAATCAAGCACGGGCAACGCTGGGCCATGCTGCTAGTTAATTATAGTTTTATCAAATATCTGGTATTAATAATAGGTTTATAAATCTAGTATTAATCTAGTATTAATTAGCGTGACGTTAATTTACTAATAAATTATTTTATAAACCTAAAGTCCCAAAACACATTAGGTCCGCCTAGGCACCACATTTACAGCAGTCATAGCAGCAGTCGCATGTTTAAGAACTTATATGTCTTCAGGTTAGTTATGAAAAATTTTCCTCCTACTAGACTGATTTCTAGCCCAGGCAAGAAAACTCTGCTATTTAAACCATAGTTGGGGGAAGAGACAGATTCCTAACTTTGCCAAGGGTATTTATGTAAGAACGAACTCGATCAGAATTCGAAATTGGTACGCCAATTCCTTTTTTGCTAATCGCTGACCGTTACACTATTCACGCAGCCAGTATGAATTATAGTATATATCTAGTATATAGTATATATCTTTTCTTTCTTTTTAATCTATTCACCCCAAGGTGATATTGGCACTAAGACACAAGGGCCTACTGGGAGTGAAAGAGAATGAGAAGACTTTAGTGACGAGAAAGGATGTATCATTCGAATTTTTGAAGATCTTAGGCGGCCGGTCAGCAAGAAACAGAAAAGAGTTCCACAGCCAAGAAGTGCGAAAAAACTAAGCACCACATTCAAAGAAGAGTCAGTGATGTTATAGGTCTTGACCTGGCATCTCAATTTCAGTCATTTTTCAACCGCCGTGACGTGGCTTTTCTGGGTCTTTTCTATAAATATTTTCTTGACAATTGTTTTAGTGAGCTTTCAACAAATTGTATATATGGGGACTAGTTTGGATTTCATAGAGACCGTGAGGTATTATGGTGATGTAGTAAGAATGGTAAATAAGAATGTCATGTTTTGGTTTAAGGAATACTGTTGTATGTTTGGGTCAGTAATTGTGACTAGTTAGGTTCAATTATAAGACAGAAGAAGGCCAACTTTCACACATCGCTCCTTTTGGCCTTGTGCCACATTTTTGTACCTTTACAAAATAATATTACTTTCCTCGATGGTAGCTAGAATTATTGAATTTAAGCACAGTACTAGATTGGGGGCAAGGTTCTCGTCATTTTACAGTTCAAATTATTAGATGTAACCGTAAGTTTCATTAAAAGAGTTGGGAGACATGAAGAGGTTGTTCACATTTTTTATGAAGGGACAATTTTGTCTTTTTTTTTTCAAGAAAATATATCTAACTCAACCTAACATGCAATTAACATGATGCTATCAAATGTTAGTTTGTCATTGTAAATTTATCACTTTCTATCACCAACAATTAGAGATTCTTGATAAAACACAAAGAACATGCAATGTTGTTTGTCCTGACCTAGCACCCCAGCTTCAATCACATTCCCACAGCCATAACATTGCAACTTTTCTATAAATATTTTCATGGTAATTATTCTGAAGAACTTTCCTATATGGGGACTAGTTAGTACTTCGTAGAGACTTTGAGGTACTATGGTGACTGTAGTAAGAATGGTAAAAATGTGATGTCTTGGTTTAAGGAATTCTGTGGTATATTTGGGTCAGTAATTATGGTTAGCTAAGTTTAAGATAAGACAGATTGAAGACCAGCTTTCCCCTATCCTTCCTTTTAGCCTTGTGCCACACTTTTGTATTGTAACAAAATAAATATTGCTTTCCACTTTGGTACCTCAACTTTAATATTTTAAGTGCAGTACTAGATTGGCAATTAGGTCTCATTTACTTTTTAAATAACTAGATGTAACCGCAATTTCTATTCTAATAGATTCGCATTATCACTTAGTGAATTTAAACTGATAGTAATCTTTTTTCCCCTTATCAGTAAAATTTATAAATTTATCCACATTGACAGATCTTCCAACACAAAATAATTGTCTTTATTTAAAAAAATCTTGCAAAAATAAAATATACTTTTCTGAAACGTCATTTGAGGAAAAGTAACCTATTTAGTGTTTACTTAATCTAAATTGGAAAAAAAATCACTTATTTTTAGTTTAAAATAACTCGGAAGCTTTTTAACATGGTAGGGGCGTTTTTCTAAAGTGTTAACAATCTGATGTTTGAGAAATTTGAGTAAAGGCGACAAAATTGAATACTTGCCTTTTACATTCATTATTCATCGAATTTTTTTTTTTTAAGTCAATTGTCTCCATAGTTTATTTTATTCATGAAAACAATCTAAAGCTTTTTTAATTAAAAAGAAAATTATTGAATTTTTTTTTTTTTTTTTTTTTTACAATTCGGGGCAAATTTTCTACCATTGGGTGGTTTTGTTTGACCAAAAACATTTGACAAGATAAAATCTCCGGGAACTTGTCCTTATAACGAATATAAATTTTTAGAAAATTTCGAGGAATTCGTTTTTTGTTTTTTTTATGGCTTAAAAGCCATAAAAAAAATCCTCGAAATTTTATAAAAAATTAAATGAATGGGAGAAACGGCATTAAAATCAAATTACCAAGATTTTCTAAACAAAGAAACAATTAAAAATTAATATCAATAAACCCAAACAGTTTCATTAAAATCCAACAATTACTTGATTTTTTAAAGAATTTCCAAATCAATGTGGTTTTCACGCAAAAAAAAAACCCGCTCAAATACCCAGTAGAAAACCATTCTATTTATTCCATTATCTTATTACTACAACGTTGACGTCAGAAAAACAAGATTTTTCACGAAATTTCCAAGGTTCAAAAAAGTATAGAAAAATTCTTTGATCTTCCCTCTTAATAATAGCATAGATTTTATACTTTTTTTTTAGTACTGTATTAATTGTTATTTTGCTATAAAAAAAATGTAGTGTTGGTAATTTTACTATAAAAATGTTTTGTTGGCAATTTTACTATAAAAATGAATTGTTACCACACCGGATCAGGGTGGATAGTGGGAAAAACAGCAACTAAGAAGTGGTTCCACGCCCTAGAAAATCTCCAATCCACTAAACAGAAACCTTGTTCTCTGATGTAGTTTATCGGCATACCCAGGACTATTTTTAAAATTTTAAACACTACCGGAGATCATGTTTGCTTCATTAAGTTTTCCTCGAGAGTTCAGGCCGACAAATGGTATATCCACCATTTAAAATGAAAAAAAAAAGCTAGGTGTTTATTTCAAACACGGGTATCCACGAGACGTAACGTTTGATGTAATATATACATATATATATATATATATAGTAGGTTGGTAGCGTAGGTTGGATGTGGCACAAGGCCGAAAGTAAGGGGCACCCAGTGAGAATTGAACTCACTACACAGTCGTAATTGTTCTAGCGAGACAAGCTTGCTAACTATTACACCGCCTCGAGGGGCATATATAAAGAAATAACAGTAAGATATATAATCCGGTGTTCTTATAGATATTTTTATTTTTACAAAACAGTGCTCAATGTAAATTTACAGAGCATAAATATTATAAATTAACTGATTTAAAATATGGTTTCTTCGCTACACAGTAATAACCATGTTTCAAAAACTGAAGCTAAAAACTTCAAATTTAATTATATAATTAAATTAAAAGCATTAATTCTGTTTCATCTTCAACCGAATTTTGGAATAACTTATTTTTCCATAAGTACTTTCCAAAGATGCCGCACGCTACGGTCGTTCCCCTCTCGAATCCGATAAAATCAGGAAGTTTCCTTCCTGACAAATCGACCATGGTGAAATTCGAACCCGGGTCTCATATATATATATATATATATATTGCGGAAGGATATTCGCTTCATTTTGCCCAA